TCACACGATCCTCCTCTAGTGAGTGTACTCTCACACGATCCTCCTCTAGTGAGTGTACTCTCACACGATCCTCCTCTAGTGAGTGTACTCTCACACGATCCTCCTCTAGTGAGTGTACTCTCACACGATCCTCCTCTAGTGAGTGTACTCTCACACGATCCTCCTCTAGTGAGTGTACTCTCACACGATCCTCCTCTAGTGAGTGTACTCTCACACGATCCTCCTCTAGTGAGTGTACTCTCACACGATCCTCCTCTAGTGAGTGTACTCTCACACGATCCTCCTCTAGTGAGTGTACTCTCACACGATCCTCCTCTAGTGAGTGTACTCTCACACGATCCTCCTCTAGTGAGTGTACTCTCACACGATCCTCCTCTAGTGAGTGTACTCTCACACGATCCTCCTCTAGTGAGTGTACTCTCACACGATCCTCCTCTAGTGAGTGTACTCTCACACGATCCTCCTCTAGTGAGTGTACTCTCACACGATCCTCCTCTAGTGAGTGTACTCTCACACGATCCTCCTCTAGTGAGTGTACTCTCACACGATCCTCCTCTAGTGAGTGTACTCTCACACGATCCTCCTCTAGTGAGTGTACTCTCACACGATCCTCCTCTAGTGAGTGTACTCTCACACGATCCTCCTCTAGTGAGTGTACTCTCACACGATCCTCCTCTAGTGAGTGTACTCTCACACGATCCTCCTCTAGTGAGTGTACTCTCACACGATCCTCCTCTAGTGAGTGTACTCTCACACGATCCTCCTCTAGTGAGTGTACTCTCACACGATCCTCCTCTAGTGAGTGTACTCTCACACGATCCTCCTCTAGTGAGTGTACTCTCACACGATCCTCCTCTAGTGAGTGTACTCTCACACGATCCTCCTCTAGTGAGTGTACTCTCACACGATCCTCCTCTAGTGAGTGTACTCTCACACGATCCTCCTCTAGTGAGTGTACTCTCACACGATCCTCCTCTAGTGAGTGTACTCTCACACGATCCTCCTCTAGTGAGTGTACTCTCACACGATCCTCCTCTAGTGAGTGTACTCTCACACGATCCTCCTCTAGTGAGTGTACTCTCACACGATCCTCCTCTAGTGAGTGTACTCTCACACGATCCTCCTCTAGTGAGTGTACTCTCACACGATCCTCCTCTAGTGAGTGTACTCTCACACGATCCTCCTCTAGTGAGTGTACTCTCACACGATCCTCCTCTAGTGAGTGTACTCTCACACGATCCTCCTCTAGTGAGTGTACTCTCACACGATCCTCCTCTAGTGAGTGTACTCTCACACGATCCTCCTCTAGTGAGTGTACTCTCACACGATCCTCCTCTAGTGAGTGTGCTCTCACACGATCCTCCTCTAGTGAGTGTACTCTCACACGATCCTCCTCTAGTGAGTGTACTCTCACACGATCCTCCTCTAGTGAGTGTACTCTCACACGATCCTCCTCTAGTGAGTGTACTCTCACACGATCCTCCTCTAGTGAGTGTACTCTCACACGATCCTCCTCTAGTGAGTGTACTCTCACACGATCCTCCTCTAGTGAGTGTACTCTCACACGATCCTCCTCTAGTGAGTGTACTCTCACACGATCCTCCTCTAGTGAGTGTACTCTCACACGATCCTCCTCTAGTGAGTGTACTCTCACACGATCCTCCTCTAGTGAGTGTACTCTCACACGATCCTCCTCTAGTGAGTGTACTCTCACACGATCCTCCTCTAGTGAGTGTACTCTCACACGATCCTCCTCTAGTGAGTGTACTCTCACACGATCCTCCTCTAGTGAGTGTACTCTCACACGATCCTCCTCTAGTGAGTGTACTCTCACACGATCCTCCTCTAGTGAGTGAGTGGGAAGCTGGTTGCCATACACGCTACCACCTGCCTTTGAGTGGGAGGAACGTGAGTCGCACCGTCTGCAGTGCGCTGCAGTGAGCCCGTGTGGCACACCAAGGCATCGATCGGCTGGCGCGACAAGGTGTCGCACCACCGTGCAGTGCAAAGCGGTGCAGTGCGGTGCCAGCGCTAATGCCAGCCTCTTCTGGGCTCGCAACCGGCGCCCTCTGCTTGAGCTTCCGCCTTCAACAGCCTGCAACTCTTTCACTTGCCTCCTTCCTCTCCTTTCTCTCCCTTCCCTCTCCCCCTACCACTTCCATATCCATTCACAACACGTTCGGGTGATGTGCGGTGCAGTGCGGTGCGAGTGCTGACACCCGTGTGGAGTGGTAACAACCTTTTCCTCCCCCCTCCCCCCCTCTCTCCACCCCACCAGTTCCATATCCATTCACAACACGTTTTCCCCGCCTGAAGAAATGGCAACAGCACCCCCGGCATCCTCCACCTGAACCACTACACGTCCCGGGAGGTGGACCTCAAGGAGCCGCCCTGCAACGCCACAGTCAAGCCTATCGAAGACCCCAGCCTCTTCTGGGCTCGCAACCGCACCATGCAGTGCAAAGCGTTGCAGTGCGGTGCGGGTGCGGGCACCCCGGTGGAGTGCTGGCCCTTCTGCCAGCTGCCGTGGGCGGGTCAGTAGGAATAGATCGCAACATGCAAGCCGCACAATGGAGTGCAAGGCGGTGCAGTGCGGTGCGAGTGCTGGCACCCCTGTGGAGTGCTGGCCCTTCTGCCAGTTGCCGCCGTGGCGGGTCAGGACAGGAATAGGTAGCAGTATCGAAGTCAGGACAAGAATAGGTACGGTAACACTCCTGGAGAGCAAAACACCACGGCGAGGCCAATAGAGCATCAAGGCTCGTTCGAGAATCCTCAAGAGCACTTTTGGGCTCGGGAGAGGACAGGAATAAAACGCCACAGTGAAGCTAATAGAGGAGCAAGCCTCTTCAGGGCTCACACGTTGCGCCGTGGATAGAGGGCAAGGCAACACATTGTGGCGGTGGTGCTGCACGGCGGGGTATGAATGGAAAGTGCCAAGCAAGCCACACGCCAGGCAAGCCTACAGCAATTGCTACTGCTTGATGTGTGGATGGTGGCACGGGAACAAACAACTGTGCCATGTCGGGTAAACGCACTGGGTGGCAACACTCCCTTGTGCTATCTAGTGGTGTATGGTGATCTCAACTCCCTACTTTCAAGGCGGAGTAGCCTCTCCGCCGACGGTGATTTCTTCCACTTTTCCCTGGTATTTGTTGTATCGACTCTCACGATAGCCTTAGGGTACATTCCGCTCTGGACACTTTCTCAAAGAAAGTGTCCGAATCGTATTTGTGACTAATTGTGACACTACGAAATCAATGATCTTGACTAATTGTGATATGCCGAAAATGATGTTTGTGGCTAATTTTGAGCATATTCATGCCTAATTGTGAAACTTCGAACCATGAACAGTGACGAAAACAGTTCTATGATGTCCGCCCACTATTATGCGGGATCACAATGCCAGGAATCAAATAAAGATATCTAGAACCCGTTTATTCAGTTCGAGATGTAGCAGCCGAATGACTTGCATTTGTTTTAAACGAGTTTGTGGAATAGGAAAATTAATTGCGTGCGCGCCGTACTCGATGCAATTGTAAGTTTGGATTGCGTGCAAGCACGTTGCCAGTATAGCACACTGAATCCACCCTGAAATTGGACGATTGTGGGTATCTACCCTTGTTCTTTCTGGGTCGACGATTTGAACAAAGAGATACCTATGTTAAACTGGGTAATGTACAGGACCCCTTTCGGGTGCGAGGACGCAACGGAGGTCCGCGCGAGTGACTGACGAGCCTGACCCATTGGTTAAAGTTAAAGTTATATTGTGCTCGTAACCAATTGGCATATCCATTTCCTAGATGAGCACGTGCGGACCCCTTTCTTGGGGGGCTGGCACAACACGCCTGCACAGGGGTGGGTTCAATCCCAGGACCTCATCCTTCAGAAGTGCCTCTTTCTACAGACAAGGCCACTTCTGGATGGTGAGCTGACCCACTGGATCTGGTCTAGGGTGGCTCTGTAAAAAAATTTAGAGTTTGAAGTTGGCGCGGACTAGGTGTACAGTTGATGCTCACCTTATCACAAAACATTTGCTCCTCACAATTAGAAATTTACTCACAATTGCATGTTTTACCGGGTGATGTCATAAGGGGTACAGTCACTCAAAATTTTGGTGGCATGTGGTTTTTGTCGGGCAGATGTGCAAGGCGCTTCGGCCTTGGCACACAAGACAAGCACTACAGCAAATGCTGCGAGCTTCTTACCGATTTAGAGCGAAGTTTTCGCTGACTTCGCTAGTGGTGTTCGTCTCTTCGTACAGGGACCCGAAATGCATCGCGAAGCCACTGATGGCTTGCATGGTAACTGAGAACATGCACAAACAACAACGGACGCTGGTCCACAGTACCTGGGAAAAGTTAAACATGCTACAACCATGCAACCCTACAATCACCTTACGCCAGTGGCGACGTGCGTGAACACCAAGCGAAATAGCCTGCTCGTTTCAAGTACATCCCGCCCAGCTACCAAGTGTGACTGTAACGCGCTTCAATTGTACCAGCCAATTGATGTAAGTCAACAACACTGTAGCCATGACTGGGATTGGACTTTTGCAAGAGCCCGAAATCGCCCAGACTCCCTTCGCCAGCAGAAAGAAAAACTGGACATCAAAGGACTGGACTGGACACGTCTGGAATCTCCTGGCCCCCGAACCGACCCGACGTGACCGGAAGAAACTTGTCCCTGTCCATTTTCATCCCGGTTTACTGTACAGGTTTGGAAAGAAATACAGTGTTGGAAAACATTTCATCCTATGTCGGTAATCAGGTGCAAGGTCAAGCGCTCCGAACGTGCGGTTGTGTGGGTGGCTTGGTGGTGGTGTGGCGTGGCTTGGTGATGACCTGGCTGTACTGTACAGTGCTGCGCCGTGCACACACACAAACCGGAGAATCGCCCAAGGCCTGCATGCTAGGCCTGTGGCTCAAAGAAATGCAATTTCTTGCACTGGTAGAACCGAGTTCCAAACCAAACCACCACATACTAGAATGCCGAAAGTAGCCATGGTCTCGAGCGTTACTACGCCGCAGCCGCAAGCAGCAGCGTCCACAGCGAGCCAGTGCCATTATGTCGCGCTCGCCGCTGCCACCTCCGCCTTGCTCGCCTTCTGGGTCGCGTTTCAACTCGGCGGCGGCTCGACCGGCCTGCCTGGCGAGTTCCGCGCCGCGGGAACTCCAGTCGACGCCTTTGATCATGCGATGCGCACACCGTTTGAAAAGTCGCGGAAATATGGTAAAAATCGAGCCGCAGGGGATGGAAACGAGCGTGAGATCCATGACGATGAAAACATTGCCACGTCAAATCGGTCGTTATCTGCCCGCGGCGCGAAGATCCGGCTGTGCATGGGCAACCCGACCGCGCCATTCGCGCAGGGAACGTTCGTGACGAAGCCAATCATCATGGAAAAAAAGAAAGGCGCAACGGCAAGCAACCGGTACGCGCAGCTCACTGTGTTCGAAGCAGAGGCTCGGCACGCCGAACCTCTCGTGAAAGCAGACTCGGGGAAGCCGCAGCGGCAAGCCAGGAGCAGCCAAACGTCTTTAAGGCTCCTTGCCTTTTTAGAGGATGAGCAATCTATCTTAAAAACGCAGTGGAAAGGGTGGGGAGAGGCGGAGCTTAGCGAGCTTTTCGCCAAGGGAGAGCTTAAGCTAAAATGCCACATATGGCCTGGTCACGACCCTTATATCCAAGCGTTCGAGCCTGCTTATATCGTGGATGTGGTGCCCATTTGGAAAATGTACTCTTGGCACTTGATATTAGAATGCCTGATTCCACCAGACACCTTAGTCAGTGAAAATAGTACTAGCATTGCCAACGATCGGCTTGCAGGTGATGACTCAGAGGTTGCCAATGTGGCTCACGCCGCTCCCTCCCCTCTTTCCGGCGCCCCCCCAACCGTCTCCCCTTCTCTCCATATGAACTTAACTACATTCTCTGTGATCGGTCACGAGCGGTTGAGAACGGTGGAGGAGAGGCAGTGGGCGGTGCATCACTGGCAGCAGGTGCAGGTGCAGCTGGTGGCGTCAGAGGCTGCGAGCGGGGCGGAACTGCGCATGCCACCGCTGCTGCTGTGCCGCGCTGACAGCGACAAACACACCCTTGCCTCTTCCCCACACTCACTCTCCCTCTCCACCTTCAGCGAAACTGCGGCAGCTGCTGATGTCGATGCTGCTGCTTCAGCCCAGCCCACTTCTGTCTCCTCCCCACCGCCCTTTCCCTTTGCTGCTGTGGAAAGGGAACTGGTTGCTGCTGCAGCCGCAGCTGGGGCTGCTGGGGTTGCTGGGAAGCCTGGCGGAAAGTCTGCCGGGGCTGCTGAGGGGGCTGTTGGGGGTGATGGGGCTGCTGCTGCCCCCGGTTCTGAATCACCACCTAGTGCTGCCGGGGGGGTGAAAGGGGCCGGAGGGTCAGGTGGTGAATCAGAGCTGTTAATTTTCCTGAAGAGGGGAGAGGGAGGGGAGGAGGAGAGGAAGCGAGGAATGCGGAGTAGTAGCGCTGAGGAGATGGGGAGTTTAGAGGAGTTGCTAGTGAATTATAAAGATGAAGCAGATGAGGATGAAGAAGAGGCGGACCGTTTGAGCTGGGAAGGATCTAGAGAAGGCGGTGATATCCTCGTTGATTACTCGAATGCAGAGACCACAGCAGCAGCACCGGCAGCAGCAGCAGCAGCAGCAGCACCAGCAGGAGCAGCAGCTGAAACGGCAGACAAATTAGGGGCGTCAAATCAGGGGCGGCAGCAGCGGCGGCGCAGCAAACCAACGAGCATGGGAGCAGTGACCATCTGCCTGCGCCCCTTCCACACGCGGCAAATGTTCTCCGACAACATTGCTGTATCCGACTCACGCCTGCTCGAGTGGATCGACTCGTCCCTTCTGATGGGTGTGGATCGGATCTATGTGTACGACCGCTACGCCACAGCCAAGCGCGACCTGCTACTGCCGTACATGGCCCGGGGGCAGGTGGTGCACGTGCCGTTCCCTCCCTGGTCGGAGGTGTTCTATCGCCAGGACCAGTTTGCTGGGAAGGGCAATAACCCGTACGCGGTGAGTGCCTAGCTCGGGGTGTGTGTGTGTGTGGGATAGAAGGGCAGGGCGGAAGGGCAGGCGTACCACGAGGGAAGGTAGGCGCGCGCGCTGCTGGACGGTGCAAAGCGCGTGTGGTGGCGGTACTACTAGCGTAGTAGCGCGCACGCGATCGGAGGGTGCAGAACGCGCGCTTCGGGCGGAAACGAGCGCGCTATGGTCGGAAACGAGAGGAGGTGGAGGCGCGACGAAGTGGGGAGGCGCGGGAAGGGGATAGGAGGGGTCGGGGACGGCGCTACGGACGCGAGGCTTGTTAGGGTATCCGCGAGTGAAGTGTGGGAAAATCGCGAATGCTAGAGGTGACGAAAAAAAAAAAAAAAAGTCGACTAGCTAATAGATAGCGCGGAAATGGTCTGGAGGCCTCAGATTTATTAAGAGATGCGGATGAGAACGAGACGTCTAGGACTACGCACGGAATAACATGTCAAACTTGACGGAGCTATGGATGGCGAAAGTGTTGGGTGAGCGAGGAAAAAGAGTCGAGGTGCAATGGAATACGGTAGTTGAGTTGAAAACCCTAAGTGAAGCTAGGGCGTGTACAGTTTCTGCTAAAGACTACGAAATGAACCTAAACTGAACCCTAAAGTGTAACTCGCTCTAAACATGGAGAAGAAACTAAGTAACACCAAACTAAAGACCGGGGCCAGCTCTAGCCTACTCCAACATGGATGGTTTGCATAGAGGCCGCTATGCCACAGCGAAGCACGCGCTGCTCCTGCTCTTGCCCTCCCCTGTCCCTCCAGTGGCTACGATCGTAAATAATTTTGTGTCCTTTGCAGTGTCTTTAGTGAGCCAATGCCCTGGCCCTCCTCTGTCTGCTCAGTGGCGACCAAATTGCTACCTTTTTTATGTGTGTGTGTGTGTGTGTGTGTGTGTGTGTGTGTGTGTGTGTGTGTGTGTGTGTGTGTGTGTGTGTGTGTGTGTGTGTGTGTGTGTGTGTGTGTGTGTGTGTGTGTGTGTGTGTGTGTGTGTGTGTGTGTGTGTGTGTGTGTGTGTGTGTGTGTGTGTGTGTGTGTGTGTGTGTGTGTGTGTGTGTGTGTGTGTGTGCGTGCGTGCGTGCGTGCGTGTGTGTGTGCGTGTGTGTGTGTGTGCGTGTGTGTGTCTATGTATGTGTGTCTGTATGTGTGTGCGCGTGCGTGTGTGTATGCGCGCGCGCGTGCATGCGTGCGGGTGTGTGCGTGCGTGCGTGTGCGCGTGCGCGTGCGTGTGCATGTGTGCGTGAGTTCGTGCGTGCGTGCGCGCGTGTGTGTTTTAATCTCTTTTTGTTTTCTTCTCTTTCCTTCATAAATATGTTTTTATGGACAGATTGAGCCAAATTGGCTCACACCAAGAACGGCATGAATCATAATTGGAGCCTCTCTACCATCACCTTCTGATGTATGGAACTCTAGATGTTGAAACCGCACAACAGTCGGAAACTCAAAATAATCACCTGCAACTATCCCATGCAGATTCCTAAAATATGCAATCATTAGCCTACAAGAACCCCCTGTCCTCACTCCCCCCTTTCCACCATCCGCCCCTCCCTCCCTCTTCCCCTCCCCTCTCTTCCCAGTTTCCGTATACATTCGGTCATCCGACATTTGATGAACTCTGCATGATGCCACTGGCTTGAGTTTACTCAAAATCTCCACCCCCCCTCCACCCCCTCCTTTCATCTCCCCCCCTCCCTCTCCCCGTCCCCTCTCCAGTTTCCTGATCAAATACGACCAGCTTATATCTATGAGCACTGAATGATGCTTGTGTCTTAAGAAGACTAAGTCACAAGCATCCTCTCCCCCTCTTTCCTCTCCTCCCCCTTTCCTCCCTCCTCCAGTTTCCTGATATATACGACCAGCTTATCTCCTACGAGCATTGCATGATGCTGGGGCGGAGGTTCGGGGACAGGTGGCAGCTGCAGATAGACAGCGACGAGTTCATCTGGTACCCGCCTCAGGCGGGGACCTATTTGAAGCCGCTTCTAGCAAGGATAGAGCTCAACCACGCGCAAAACAGCACAGAACCGCTACGGGTGAGCTTTGAGAACTCTCATAAGTGATACCAACAGGGTATAATGGAATCTATAAAAAAGAAAAATATCATTATAATTATAGAAAAAACAAGTGTATGTGAAAACAGGACCACATCGATTCACAAAGAACAGAAATGGAACGGCACATGGCACTAAGTTGGGCCCAGTATGGCCGTGACTGTAAGGCGGGTCTGACTTGATGTGACAGTACCGAATGGAAACAGGGCGCAAGAGAAAGGAGGTGCTATGGCATTGAGTGATGTGGTTGGTAGCTAGCACCATGAGTGGAGGCCAGGGCCATGAAGGGTGGCTCTGGAAATAGCTATGCATCGGGCCTTCTTGAGACATAATTCTCAGGGAGCAGCAGTAGTGAAGCTAGGCTTAAAAGCAAAAGAACAAACAGCTAGTATTGTACTCGCTTTGTGAGACTAAGCTATGAAGGGTGGCTCTGGAAATAGCTATGCATCAGGCCTTTCAGCAATACCCCATCCCTTCTCTATCATTTCCCCACGGTGGCCATTCAGCAAGTCCCCATCCCTTCCCTCTCTCCATTTCCACACGGCAGCCCATTCAGTTGCGGCGGTTCAACGTCTGGGGAGCGACAAAAGAGACATGAAGGGAGCATGTATCAAACCGCCTCATGTGGCACAGCAGCGCACCCAGCCGGACAGCCTAGCAGGCCGTTCGACCATCCATCCACCATTCTTGCTTCTCACCTCGCCTGGCAGGCCATTCAGTTGCGACGGTTCAACGTCTGGGGAGAAACCAAGGAGACCCGGGAGGAGTGTGTGACAGACCGCCTCATGTGGCGCAGCCGCTTGCCGGCGTTTGACAACCGCATGCATAGATATCATGACAAAGTGGCCGTCAACCCACAGACAATCCTTCCCTAGTGAGTGCCCTCATCCCATACACCATTCTCCCCTAGTGACAGCTGTCAACCCACACACCATTCTCCCCTACCTCCCATCCTTGTCATAGGCTCACCAGAGGTGTCACACCACCACCTGATTGTGACAACATGCTGCTTACTTCCCCCCCACATGCCGCCCCATATATGTGCCGCCCCATTTATGTGCCGGCCCATATATGTGCCGCCCCTCCCACATCCCGCCCTTCTCCTCCCACACAGCACGGTGGGCATCCCCAGCACCACTTCGTTGAGTACCTCCTCTCTCGCTTGCCGCCCCTTCCACCTCCCGTCCCTCCCACATCCCGTCCCTCCCACATCCCGTCCCTCCCACATCCCGTCCCTCTCCTCCCATACAGCACGGTGGGCATCCATGCCACCACGGCTCCAGAAAACTCCACAGCAGTGGCGCCAGCAGAGGTGCTGCGGCTGAACCACTACACGGCAGGGCAGATCGACCTGCACTTTGCACTCAGCATCGACTCCACGCAAGTTGTGGAGGACCAGGGGCTCTTTTGGTCGCGCAACCGCACACGGGACTGCCGGGCGCTGCCTTGCGGTGCGAGGGATAACCTGACCACCCCTGTGGAGTGCTGGCCCTTCTGCCAGCTACCTTGGGCGGGCCTGTAGGAGTACGGTAGGTAGCACCATGCAACCGCACACGGGACTGCCGTGCGCTGCCTTGTGGTGTGAGGGATAACGTGACCACCCCTGTGGAATGCTGGCCCTTCTGCCAGCTACCTTGGGCGGGCCAGTAGGAGTACGGTAGATAGCACGATGCAACCGCACGCGGGACTGCCATGCGCTGCCTTGTGGTGCGAGGAATAACCCGAGTGCCCCTTTGGAGCGCTGGCCCTTCTGCCAGCCGATTTTTGAGTCAACTCAAAAATGGACTGCCGTGCACTGCCTTGTGGTGCGAGGAATAACCCGAGTGCCCCTGTGGAGCGCTGGCCCTTCTGCCAGCCGCCGTGGGGCGGGCACGAGTAGGAGTGTGGGACTCGGGAGAGTCTCTTTTTTCTGCATCACCTCAGCAGCAGCATGAACTAACACACAGTAATGGGGCTACGTTCCCTTTTTTCCTTTTCCCTTTCTAGGGAGCTTGTTGTACACACAATCAGAACTCGTCCCTGGCATCTGATGAATTCACTTCCCTCCAGTAACGACTCAACGAGTGTTGTGGAGGACCAGGGGCTCCTCTGGTCGCGCAGCCGCACGCGGGACTGCCGGGGACTGCCTTATGGTGCGAGGAATAACCCGAAGGCTCCTGTCGAGTGCTGGCCTTTCTGCCAGCCGCCTTGGGACAGGCAGGAGTAGAAGTCTGATAGGGTATGTTGTCCTGCACCGTCGTGACAGCGTTTACAATATCGCCATTTACACGAGAGATTTAGCACGCTCATTGGCAAATAGCTTAATCAAAGTCACAGTGGGCGCGGTTCGCACCAATTTGTTCTGACTTCGAGCAGCCTTGTTCTGCTGTCTTCACTTCATGATAAAAGTTGTGTTTTGATTGAGACATCTCAATAGACTCCAGAGGAAGCACGTTACAGACTTCGATCGACCAGCCTCGTTCTGCTATCTTCACTTCATCCACGCTCATTGTATCCATTCTTACTAGACTCCAGACGCAGCACAATCTGCTCTTCCAGCTGCTGCGATTGCGCTGCTGCTGCTTCAATCCTCCTCAACCTGTATCCTTCTGCAATCTTCACCCACGCTCCTACTAAGAACGCTTCTTATTGGACTCCAGACGCAGCACGATCTGCTCTTCCAGCTGCGGTGAATGCGCCGCTGCTGCTGCCTGCCCCAACCCACCTCAGCCTGCTGACGAGTGACTTTTGAGTCAACTCAAAAGTCACGCTCCTACGAATGCTCCTTATTGGACTCCAGAGGCAGCACGATCTGCTCCTCAAGCTGCTGCGATTGCGCCGCCGCTGCTCCTATCCTCCTCAGCCTGCTCGTGAGCACCGCCCCTGCCCCTGGTCCAGCGAGTCATGCCACTTGAACATGTCCTGTGGGATGAGCATGAGGGCAGGGCGGAGGGTAGGGAGTGGAGTGGTGGGAGTGGAGAGCAGGTGGAGTGGTGAGAATACATACAGCAGAACCGCCCCTGCCCCCTGGCCCAGGGACTCATGCCACTTGAACATGTCCTGAGGGATGAGCACAAAGGCGGGGGAGCGGGGAATGCGGAATGGGGAATACGGAAAGGGGAATGAGCTCTGCCCCTGCTCCTTGGTCCAGGGACTCATGCCACTTGAACATGTCCTGTGGCATGGGCATGAGGGCAGGGGAGTGGGGAGTGGGTAAGTATTGAGGAATGAGTGGGTAAGGGAGAGTCGAGAGAAACGGGTAGAGGTGAGTGGTGAGTGAATGTCTGAGATGGGGACACAAACGAACCAACTCTCCACCCTAATCCCTGGAGTTATATCACGACTCGGCCAGTGCCCACCTGCCCACCTGAACCAGGCCATCCCACCTGCCCCAGTCCCACCCACCCCAACCCACCTGCCCCAGTCCCACCCACCCCAGCCCACCTGCCCCAGTCCCACCCACCTCAGCCCACCTGCCCCAGTCCCACCCACCTCAGCCCACCTGCCCCAGTCCCACCCACCTCAGCCCACCTGCCCCAGTCCCACCCACCTCAGCCCACCTGCCCCAGTCCCACCCACCCCAGCCCACCTGCCCCAGTCCCACCCACCCCAGCCCACCTGCCCCAGTCCCACCCACCCCAGCCCACCTGCCCCAGTCCCACCCACCCCAGCCCACCTGCCCCAGTCCCACCCACCTCAGCCCACCTGCCCCAGTCCCACCCACCTCAGCCCACCTGCCCCAGTCCCACCCACCCCAGCCCACCTGCCCCAGTCCCACCCACCCCAGCCCACCTGCCCCAGTCCCACCCACCCCAGCCCACCTGCCCCAGTCCCACCCACCCAGCCCACCTGCCCCAGTCCCACCCACCCAAGCCCACCTGCCCCAGTCCCACCCACCCCAGCCCACCTGCCCCAGTCCCACCCACCCCAGCCCACCTGCCCCAGTCCCACCCACCCCAGCCCACCTGCCCCAGTCCCACCCACCCAAGCCCACCTGCCCCAGTCCCACCCACCCCAGCCCACCTGCCCCAGTCCCACCCACCCCAGCCCACCTGCCCCAGTCCCACCCACCCAAGCCCACCTGCCCCAGTCCCATTCCCACCTGCACGAGCCCCAGGTTGTGCTGCAGCCGCTCCAAGAGCCCCGGCTGATCGAAGGCCTCCTGTTGGCATCAACTATAAAGTTAACAGTTTCACCTACACCAGGCCACCTGCCCCAGTCCCATTCCCACCTGCACAAGCCCCAGGTTGTGCTGCAGCCGCTCCACGAGCCCCGGCTGATCGAAGGCCTCCTGTTGGCATCAACTATAAAGTTAACAGTTTCACCTACACCAGCCCACCTCCCCCAGTCCCATTCCCACCTGCACGAGCCTCAGGTTGTGCTGCAGCCGCTCCACGAGCCCCGGCTGATCGAAGGCCTCCTGTTGGCATCAACTATAAAGTTAACAGTTTCACCTACACCAGCCCACCTGCCCCAGTCCCATTCCCACCTGCACGAGCCTCAGGTTGTGCTGCAGCCGCTCCACGAGCCCCGGCTGGTCACACGCCTCCTGCGGTCTGGTGACTCTTGACTTCTTCATACACTCAACCAGTTAACAGTCCCACCTGTCCCAGTCCCATCTGCCCCACTCCCACCTGCCCCAGTCCCACCTGTCTCATCCCCCCCTCACCTGCACGAGCCCCAGGTTGTGCTGCAGCCTCTCCACAAGGCCTGGTTGATCAAACACTTTCTGCAGCCTGCGACTATAGAGTCGACTTTCTAATGGCATTTTGGTGGGTCATTCAGTCAACAGTCCCACCTGCCCCAGTCCCAACACCCACCTGCACGAGCCCCAGGTTGTGCTGCAGCCTCTCCACAAGCCCTGGCTGATCAAACACCTCCTGCAGCCTGCGGGGCAGCGAGTCAACCGCTGCTGGGTCGATGTTGAGGGAGAACACCGGGTAGTTAAGGGCCGAAGGAGGGGAGGAGGGGGATGCTGCGTGGTGGTACTGTGAGGCGGCCCAGGGGTTGTCGTTGGCACGGAGGAACGTCACTGGGATGCAGCCTGAGAGGATTGCCTGGTGGTGGGTGGTGGGGGGAATGGAGAAGAATGGGGGGTGGTGGTGGGTGGTGGGGGGTGGTGGGGGGAATGGAGAAGAATGGGGGGTGGTGAGGGGCAGAATGGTGGTAGTGCGAGCCTGCGAGGCGGCCCAGGGGTTGTCGTTGGCACGGAGGAACGTCACTGGGATGCAGCCTGAGAGGATTGCCTGAGGTGGTGGGAGGTGGTGGGGAGGGAGTGGGGAGGGGGGGAAGGAAAGGCAGAAGTTGTGCTTTTTGAGGCGCCTCAAAAATCGTAGGGAGTGGGGAGGGGGGGAAGGAAAGGCAGAAGTTGTGCTTTTTGAGGCGCCTCAAAAATCGTAGGGAGTGGGGCGGGGGGTAAGGAAAGGCAGAAGTTGTGCTTTTTGAGGCGCCTAAAAAATCGTAGGGAGTGGGGAGGGGGGTAAGGAAAGGCAGAAGTTGTGCTTTTTGAGGCGCCTCAAAAATCGTATGGAGTGGGGAGGGGGGGAAGGAAAGGCAGAAGTTGTGCTTTTTGAGGCGCCTCAAAAATCGTAGGGAGTGGGGCGGGGGGTAAGGAAAGGCAGAAGTTGTGCTTTTTGAGGCGCCTCAAAAATCGTAGGGAGTGGGGCGGGGGGTAAGGAAAGGCAGAAGTTGTGCTGCCTGCAGCCTTGGGACGAGCCCAGGGGTTGTCGTTGGCACGGAGGAATGTCGCTGGGATGCAGCCTGAGAGGATTGCCTGAGGTCGTGGGGGGTGGTGGAGGGTGGTGGGGGTTGGTGGGGGGTGTGGCGAAGAATGGGGGGTGGTGGGGGGTGGTGCGGGTGGTGGAGAAGAATAGGCGGTGGTGAGGAAACGTCATCAGGATCCAGGGGTTATCAGGGACCAACCAGTGGTCCACTGGGAGAGAAAAAACACCAGGGTTGTTGAAGGTTTCAAATTGAGAGAGCTCACTTGAGAGAGCTGGGAGCTCACCTTGGCGAGCTGGAAGGTCCACTGGGCGTGACCAGGCAGTATGAGTGAGACACACAATCCCTGCCGTTGTGGACTTTTGAGGCGCCTCAAAAGTCGCGACCAGGCAGTATGAGTGAGACACACAATCCCTGCCGTTGCTACAGAAAGCATTCGAGATGCGACGCGCCTCACCTGACCCTTCCACCCTGACTCATTTGAACCCTCAGCCAGCTGGGAGCTCACCTCGGCCAGCTGGAAGGACTAGTGGGCGCGACCAGGCAGTACGAGGCAGAAGACACTGCTGCCCCACTCGCTGTTGTCACCAGCACCGGCACCGTCACCAACATCACCACCACTACCACCACCATCAGCAGCACCACAAATCGGGGTTTAAGGTTTCGGGCTTAGGGAGCTCATTTGGGCCCTTGGTCGACCAGCAGCTCACCTTGGCGAGCTGGAAGGACCACTGGGCGCGACCAGGCAGTACGAGGCAGAAGACACTGTTGCCCCACTCGCTGTTGTCACCAGCACCGCCGGCACCATCACTACCAGCATCAGCACCATCAGCAGCACCATCCGCAGGAGCAGCAGTAGCAGCAGCAGCAGCAGCAGCAGCAGCAGCAGCAGCAGCAGGAGCAGCAGGAGCAGCAGCACTACTAATTTCAGGGGTATCCCCCCGGACCCCTAGAGCCTCCTCGTCGTCATTTCGGAACACCACCTTCCACCCTTGGATGAGCGCTGTGTCGGACGCATAGAGCTGGGATGGGGAGTGGGGGGAGGGAGCAGAGAGGAGGAGATGGGGCAACTTTGAGCTTTCTGACGTGTCAACACTCGTTTCGGAACACCGCCTTCTACCCTTGGATGAGCGCTGTGACGGACACATAGAGCTGGGAGGTGGATTGGGGGAAGGGAGCAGAGCGGGAAATATGTGCGAGTTTTAAAGTTTGAAAAGGCTCAGAGTTGATACCTCAAATCAAACGCCTTATTGGTGTCAATTTGGAACACCGCTGCCCAACACCCTCAACCATCCCAACCACCCTTCACCTCTATCCACCAAACCCCACACCTCTCAACCAACCCCCACCCACAACCACCCTCCATCCCCCTCAACCACCCCTCACCTCTATCAACCACTTCTCCACCGGATAGTTGTGGTGCAAGCCTTCCTTTATCCTGAAGTTGCTGATGTCAGCGACGTTGGCCGCTGACGTCACCATCAGCACGCGGATGCTGCGACCTCCATAGGCAGGTGGGGCGGCTGCAGCAGCGGCAGAGTCACTTGAAAAACCACCTGAACCATCGCCTGCCACGGCAGCAGCACCACCAGCAGCACTAGCAGCATCAGCAGCAGCAGTGGGCCCGTGCGAGGGGGGGATGACGTGTGTCTGAGTCAGCAGCGGCGGCACGACCACGTCTCGCCCAGGCGAATAGCAGGCGATGTCCGGAATAGAGTCGTTTATGGGCGCTTTATAGTTATACGACAGCACCTGCAAGCAGCAGGAGTGGCACAATTCCAGAGGATCCTCAAGAATAGCAGGCGATGTCCTGAATAGAGACGTTTATCACTTTTGAGAAATTTATTTGGGAATCACTTTTGAGAATTCTCTTTTGAGAATTACTTTTGAGAATTCTCAAAAGTGATTCCTTCTGAGAATTCCCAAAAGTGATCCTCAAGAATAGCAGGCGATGTCCGGAATAGAGACGTTTATGGGCGCTTTATAGTTATACGACAGCACCTGCAAGCGCCACCGCAGCAACGGGGAGCGAGAATAGCAGCAGGGCGGGGCCGCGCGACAGGGGGAGGGGGAGGAGGAGGGGGAAGGGGAGGGAGAGGGGAAAGGGGAGGGGGAGGGGGAGGGGGGGGGAGCGGGAGGGGGGGGAGGGGGAGGGGGAGGGGGGGGGAGGGGGAGGTTCAATCTGAACATGATTTCAATCTTCCACCTGAGGTTCACCTGAACCTTCACCTGAACCTCTCTGTGGCATATCCAACCCAACAGACTGATTCCAAACCTGCTTCCCTCGCGCTTTTTCCCTGAAAGCAGGGCATTTGCACGCAATTTCTCCAAGCTCAACTTTACAGACGCTGTATTTCCATTAATAATGCTATAACACCTCGCTACCCACTGGGTCAAAACGAGGGTGTTATTTGGCGCAGCGGAATGCCCATTATAACACTCAGCCTACAGGCGTTACACTCGTCCCCCCCTGGTGTCAACGTCCTCGTTGACGAACTTCAGGGAGTCGGCCCCCCATGGGGACCTAATTTCGCTGAGCAGGCGGCAGCGACTTCGCTGGTGGACCAGGCCAACGGAGGATCGTTCACTGGGTTCGATCCGGTTACCACATTCAAGTTCTCGCCACAGGCGGAAAATGTGGGACCAGCCAGGACTTGAACCCTAGGCTCTGATACCAGTATAACACCTCGCTACCCACTGGGTCAAAACGAGGGTGTTATTTGGCGCAGCGGAATGCCCATTAACACTCAGCCCACAGGCATATGGTAAGAAAAACGCCTACCCGCATGTCGGGTGTCCATCCCGTGTGTACGCTCCGGACCAGAATATCCCCGTTATAAGTCACGAAGAACATCTCGCCGAGCAACTTAGGGTTTATGTACGTCAGCGCGTCGCATCTCCCGTTCCGCGTCGACAAGATCGAGAAATGATCGCGGCCGTTGGATCGGTAAAAGTGCGGCTCGCGCCGAACCTTGACCAGCAGAGCCATCCAAACCTTTGAAACCTTCTCTACCGCGTCGCGCACGTCCGAACCGCCTTTCGAGCCGCTCAGGTAGTACTGTAGCAGTCGGGAAGAATAAAAGGGCACGAAGAAAAGAGTCGCCTGTTTCGGGTCGTGGGTTCGAACGCCTCCAGCGTCAGATAAAATCTGCTCCGTCAATTTCCGTTCGAGGTCGAAATGTAACGCGTACGGCGGAACATCCATCCCGGAAATGTCATCCGTACAGTTGGTACCGAAATCGTACACGTAAATAAACGGCTTCTTTTCTTCCGCAGCAGCCGCCGCGAGAATCGGATTAGAAGTGTCCGCGGGACTACTCGGTAACCGCGCGTACACGTTATAAGCGTTCGCCCCGTTCTCTACTATAGGCCGAATTGGAGCAGCGCCACCAGCCGAGGGACACTTAACTCTAGCAGCGGAGAGCTCACTAACGGGGGAAACGCCACCGGGAGCTCCGGCACCGCTGATTGGACTGGAGCCTGTGCTGACGTCATTATCGCACGTACAAGCCGGCTGTTCTCGACGGAAGACGCACAGGGTTGCGACAAGGCCGATAGTAGCAAGGATAACGACAGCGAGGCAATTCGAGAGGCTCTTAGGAGATAAGGGCGCGTCGGGCACTAGAGGGCTCATCGACATGCTGCCGGCGGCACAGACTGTTCTCCAGAGTTTGTCTCCCTCCTCGGCGAGTCGAATATTTTTCCGGCAAAATATGAGTAACCTAGACCGTGAGTTTGTTCTGCTGCCTAGACCACATCAGTGCTCGGCGGCACACTCTCCTAACCCAGGCTTCACTGCTGTACAACTGAATTGGTGGCTTGCGGGCAGCGAATGACAGCTTACGTCCACCAAAGCAGGGATTGACTTACACGGTGAAAAGCCATCCAACTCTTTGGGAACGTGTGGGGTCCAAGCACCTTCCGAGCCTCCGCTTCAGGTCTTCATGAGCTTCCCAGTCTAAAGGTCAGCGTTTGCCAAACCAGAGGTCTGGAAAACTTACCGAAACCAGACCTGGCCCAGGTTTGTTTCTGGTTTTTCATATGATGGGCTGCGTGGCGGACCCTCTTTGTTGTTCTTCCAGCCAATCAGTTGTGATCATGTCGCGCCAAACGCGTGAAGTTTTGTCATGGCAAAGTCAACAGCCATCCGAAAATTCTTCCACACCCTTCAAATGGTTCTATTTATTTTTTATTTCCCTCTCCCAGGGATTTCTCACTCTTCAGTCGAGCACTCAACAAACGAATTTCACAGGTTCGTGGGTGTCGTTGGTGGTGCCTGCAGCAGAATGATAGCCAGGCCCCAATAAGGGCTATGCTTTAAAAATAGGTGTGATTTAAGAGTACAAAATCTGTTACGGGTAATCGTCTAAACAACTCCGCTATTCGAAGGCGGAAAAATTGCGCGACGCGACAGACCGCAAACTTCTCTCGAACCCATCGACCAAGCTCGCACCGCAGGTAGGGCGATCCGAACCTCGGCCAAATGGATCGATTTACACGCAATTTCACGTTTTTTTCATGCTGCGAACGCGGTTTACTAGGCGTTACAGGTGCCATTTGGTTTTACGGTCAGAATCGCGAAATTACAGCTTGAGGTTCCGAATCTTCCAATATATATGTATTTTGTTTCGCTACACGACGCTTTCGAGTGAGTCAGCATGCTGACCGCGGGCAAACAAAATATACCCCATGGCTTACGGGGTTGAGGCTCCCGAATGGCATGCCATCCGGATGGGGTTTTTTTTTTTCTTGCCCGCGCAATATATATTTCAGTAAACAAGAAACGTGGCACGCGCGCCAAACATAATCGCTCTTCCGAAACAATGACATCGAGAGGGACCACCGACTCTTACGCATCATTTCTGTCTGTCTATATCGCAAAAGCGTTGGTAGGTCGATCCATTTGGCCGAGGTTCGGATCGTTCTATCTGCGGTGCGAGCTTGGTTAATAGGATCAAAAAAATTTCGGGTCATGTCGCGTTGCGCAATTTTCCCTTTAAAGGCTCTACAGTGGAAAACAAAGGTATTAATGACGGTGTTTGTCGAGCATCCAAAAATAATCATACCCTACATTTTGTTTCTAGTAGGAAAAATACCCTCCCAGATCCCACTCTTGAGTGACTTTTGCGGAGGAGCACTTACACTTTCGGGGATCAGGCGAGGTGCTGATTGCAGCGGAATCGGCCAAAGAGCCCCATAATGATGGAGGGCTAAGATTTAAGATCAGGTGTAATTTCAAGGGTGCAACTACGTGTCGGGGAATCTTCTAAACTACTCCGCTATACGAAGGCTCTACTGACGAAAGCAACGCTATAGCGAGGCATTTTGTGGAAGATCTTCCACACCCTTGTATGTTTTTTCTACTACAACATATTAACCTCTACCATGAATTTCCACTCCCACGGAGATTTACCCTACCCAATCGGCACTTCACAAACGAAATTCGTTTCAGCTAGTTGCAGAATGTCTGTTTCCACCCGTGTGGGAAAAAAAATTCCCCATCTCCCGGAGCCAGCCTGAACCACTTCGAAAATTCTGGTGCACCAGCCCTGGGGAAATAGAGAAGTTTAATCAATCACTCACGAATCAAACCAGGATTTCCAGATTCGCCTGAACTCCAACGTCTGTTTTGTCTGGTTTGTGGAAAACGCGTGGAGTTCAGGCGAACGTTCGCACAGTCGTCGTGGCTGATAATGAATCTGACCAAGTGGTCCCTACCAAGCTACCGAGTCTACGACCATGCCACGCACTTTTCCCGAACCAAGTTCCGAACCAAATTTGCCTGATTTGATGTTTCAGCCACCAACTCTCACAACCATATGCTATGTACCCCTCCAGTCTAGATTTTAGAACCATTATGACAAGACACAGCTGGGGGGGCTTCTCATGCTCGACAGTCTTCGCTCGAGTCGCAGCTATACTTTACTTTTACCACGAATTCATTCCACTCTCAGTCCCGACCCGAACCGATGCTCCGATAGACTCGTCGAGGTAGTTCGTCGTCAAATGAGAAGCGGTCGTTTATTAGTAGCTAGCATCGACAGCTGCGACACTGGCGACAGCAGCGCGATCAGCGACATTATTAACAGCAGCGAGACTTAAGGGCCAGCGCTAACCCAGTGTGCTTTTCCCATCTTGGCGTCTTCACGGCTTTTCATAAACTTATCCAATTTCTCTCTTTTTCTTGATTGACGCCGCGTCATGTTCTCGACGGAGATGCTAGCTCTGGACGTCACTAAGATCAAAATACAGACCGCTAAGATGCACCAGCAGTTCTTAAGTCCGAAGCGTGCCCCCACGCGCGTCGCCTTTGTGGGCGTCTCGTCGCTCGTATTGATATTACTTTTATGTGGTTCGTATTTGCAGCCGCAATCGCAAGACTGTTTTTGTCCTAATCTAGCGAATCCCGAGCTGTCTACCGCCGCCGCCGCCGCCGCTTCCACCGCATCTCTTGCCGCAAGACGCGATTTAGAATCCCGTGAAGTTTCCGCCAACTCCGCCTTCGTTCCCGCTGCGGGAGACTCGCAACCTTCCCCTGCAGCGACGATCGGATCCGTCGCCGCGTTTTCCGGCGCGGCGTTTTCCGGCGCGAACGACGGCGGTGAGGGGACCAGTCAAGGCACAGCGGACGACGATAGCAACCAACAGTTTATTTACGTGTACGACACGCAACGGGCGTGGACGGAGAAAATGAAGGGGCGCGCCAAGGAGTGGTATTCGGACCAGTATGACGTGGAATCAGTGGTGACGGAGTTAATTATGCGCAGTAACGCGATACGCACGACGGATCCGGAAAAGGCGACGCTGTTTTACGTGCCGTACTACTCGTCGAACCACATCGCGCACGTTAACAAGCTTATGAAGAACATGATGCATAAGTCGGTCGGAGAGGTTTCTAAGGTGCGTTCTTGAGTCTGCTTATATGGAGTTGTGCCACGTCGAAGCATGCATTCATATTGTGAAGCGTCACCCCGGTCTATTAGCCTCCATCGTTGGGTTGGGACTATCTACCCTATTGACTATGCATTAAACCCTAAATCAAGGTCTTCATACGTTGAATTTCCCCCCAAATCTTCCACTTTCCTCCCCACTCTCCCCTCTTACCCGCGCCCCTCCCCATTGCGCCGCTGCCTCCCCCTACCTCTCCCCCTCTTCCCCCTCTCTCTCTCCCCCAGGCGTGGCACGACATTCTCACCATGATTCGCCGCGATTTCCCCTACTTCAACCGCACCAACGGCCGAGATCACTTCAGCACGAGCACGTTCGATCACGGCCGTTGCCACGCGCTGACGTGGGTCAGCCCGGATTTGTACGGCGAGATGTTTTTTATCATGCTTAACGGGGACCGCCTCGCGCGCACCATGCACGCTTCTGAGGAGCGCAATTTGCAGGTAAGGAGAGAAGAGGGGTATGCAGGGCAGGAAATGGTGCAGGTTGGGCAGGAAAAGGTGCAGGTAGGGCAGGAAATGGTGCAGGTAGGGCAGGAAATGGTGCAGGTTGGGCAGGAAATGGTCCAGGTAGGGCAGGAAATGGTGCAGGTAGGGCAGGAAATGGTGCAGGTAGGGCAGGAAATGGTGCAGGTAGGGCAGGAAATGGTCCAGGTAGGGCAGGAAATGGTGCAGGTAGGGCAGGAAACGGTGCAGGTAGGGCAGGAAATGGTGCAGGTAGGGCAGGAAATGGTGCAGGTAGGGCAGGAAATGGTGCAGGTAGGGCAGGAAATGGTGCAGGTAGGGCAGGAAATGGTGCAGGTAGGGCAGGAAATGGTGCAGGTAGGGCAGGAACTGGTGCAGGTTGGGCAGGAAAAGGTGCAGGTAGGGCAGGAAATGGTGCAGGTAGGGCAGGAAATGGTCCAGGTAGGGCAGGAAATGGTGCAGGTAGGGCAGGAAATGGTGCAGGTAGGGCAGGAAATGGTCCAGGTAGGGCAGGAAATGGTGCAGGTAGGGCAGGAAACGGTGCAGGTAGGGCAGGAAATGGTGCAGGTAGGGTAGGAAATGGTGCAGGTAGGGCAGGAAATGGTGCAGGTAGGGCAGGAAATGGTGCAGGTAGGGCAGGAAATGGTGCAGGTAGGGCAGGAAATGGTGCAGGTAGGGCAGGAACTGGTGCAGGTTGGGCAGGAAAAGGTGCAGGTAGGGCAGGAAATGGTGCAGGTAGGGCAGGAAATGGTCCAGGTAGGGCAGGAAATGGTGCAGGTAGGGCAGGAAATGGTGCAGGTAGGGCAGGAAATGGTGCAGGTAGGGCAGGAAATGGTGCAGGTAGGGCAGGAAATGGTGCAGGTAGGGCAGGAAATGGTGCAGGTAGGGCAGGAAATGGTGCAGGTAGGGCAGGAAATGGTCCAGGTAGGGCAGGAAATGGTGCAGGTAGGGCAGGAAATGGTGCAGGTAGGGCAGGAAATGGTGCAGGTTGGGCAGGGAAAGTTGCAGGTTGGGGAGGAAAAGGTGCGGGCTCGGGAGGAAAGGCTGCAGGTGCATGCTCAGGGTAAGGTGGAGAGGAACGTGTAGGAAGGGTAGAAAAGCTGCAGGTCCGGGAGGAAAAGCTGCAGGTCCGGGAGGAAAAGCTGCAGGCTCGGTAGGAAAAGCTGTAGGTCCGGGAGTAAAAGCTGCAGGTCTGGGAGGAAAAGCTGCAGGCTCGGTAGGAAAGATGCAGGTTCGGGAGGAAAAGCTGCAGGCGCATGCAGTGTGCTGGATACAGATCATACACCACAGGATCAACTACGAATCGTCACTGCACCCGCAGTTCTCCGACATTCCCTGCTACACAAGCTAATCTCTCAACTCCCCACCCCCTTCCCCTCCCCCCCCCCCCCCCACCTCTCCCCCGAATGCACAGATCATAGGGTACAACTACGACTCGCCAGTGCAGCCGCAGTTTCCCGACATCCCATGCTACATGCCCGACCGTGACATTGTCGTGCCGGCCTTTATTGGTGACCAGGTGGGTTGTCCCATACTCTCACGCCCCTCACGCCACGCCCCTCACGCCCCTCACGCCACGCCCCTCACGTGACACTTTCCTCTCTCCATGTCTCCCAGACATCCCATGGTCTTTTGAGAATTCTCAAAAGCGACCCAGACATGCCCGCCCGTTACATTGTCTTGCCTGCCTTTATTGGCGACCAAGGTGGGTGGGTGCTGGCAGTTTTTTTGCGAGCTTTGACAATTTTTAACCCTTTTTATGATTGTTTTCTTATTACAAATATTATTTTAACCCTCTTTTTTTTGTCTCTTCTCGTCGAACCTCGTGTCCCAATCTCCTCAGATACCCGTGGTATCACCCTTCACTGGCGATCGTGTTTTGAGACGGCTCATGTCACCCTTCACTGGCAATCGCCCCGTGCAAGCCATCTTCCGCCTCTCACTCTCTCCCTTCCCTGCTCCTGCCCACACGTCCCACTCCCCCCTCTCCCGTCTCCCCTCCACCCCCCACCCCCCCAGATACCCATGGTGTCGCCCTTCACTGGCGATCGCCCCATGCGCGCCATCTTTCGCTTCTCAGCCCAGCAGGGCCATAGGGCACCCCTCATGCACCACGGCCACGACCTGCGCCCAGAGCTGCTCAGTGTGCGTGTGGGGTTGGGATTGGGGTTTGGGGTTTGGGATTTGGGGGTTTGGGATTTGGGGGGTTTGGGATTTGGGGGGTTGGGTTTGGTGGGTAGACTAGCAGGGTCACAGGGCGCCCCTCAAGCATCACGGCCACGACCTGCGCCCCGAGCTGCTCAGTGTGCGCGCTTAAGGGTTGGGTTTGGGAGAAGAGGGAGTGGGGGGTGGGGAAGGCGGGGTTAGAGGCACATGGCTTTCTCAGCCCAGCGGGCCCACAAGGCACCCCTCATGCACCACGGCCACGACCTGCGACCATAGCTGCTCAGTGTATATGTTAAAGAGAGGCTGGGTTTGGGAGAGGACGGAGTGGGCGTTTTGAGGCGCCTCAAAACTTGGCTCGTTTTGAGGCGCCTCAAAACACGACCTGCGCCCAGAGCTGTTCAGTGTACATGTTAAAGAGAGGTTGGGTTTGGGAGAGGACGGAGTGGGCGTTGGGGAGGGTGGGGTAAACCACTCGGCCTTCTTAGCCCAGCAGGGCCACCAGGCACCTTCTCTCTCTTCCCCCCCCTCCCACCACCCCTTCTGGGTGTAGATGTACCAGCGGCAGCGCATCAAGGGGTGGAGCTTTGCAGCCAAAGCGGAGAACACGACCAACAAGGGCCTTCCCTCTCCTCCCCTCCACTTCCCCTGAAATAGACTCTCTCTCTCCCCCACTCACACACCCAGATGTACCAGAAGCAGCGCATCAAGGGGTGGAGCTTCGCAGTCAGGGAGGAGAACGCGACCAACAAGGAGTATCCTTTTTGACTCAACGAAGTTTCCTTCTCCTCCTCTCTCTTCCCTCTCTCACCCCCCCAACATGTGCATGCATGCAGATGTACCAGCGGCAGCGCATCAAGGGGTGGAGCTTCGCAGCCAAAGCGGAGAACGCGACCAACAAGGAGTGGCAAAGAGCAGTCTTCTGCATCTGCCCGCCCGGCCACTCCCAGTGGACCAGTCGCCCCTTCAAGGTGAGGGGCACAACAATCGGGTCAATCGGGTCAATCGGATCAATCGGGTCACTCGGGTCACCTTTAATCGGGTCACTCGGGTCAATCGGGTCAATCGGGTCACTCGGGTCACTCGGGTCACCTTTAATCGGGTCACTCGGGTCAATCGGGTCACTCGGGTCAATTGAGTGGGCTTGCGATCACTCCCAGTGGACCAGCCGCCCTTTCAAGGTGCAAGCGGATGCGGGGCATTCAAGTCAATTAAGTCAATTTAATCAAATAGTAATGTCAGAATTTCAGTCACGATGCAACTGGGATAGAAGGACTTGTTAAGTAGTGGATGAGTGCGCTCATAACTGGATACTTTTGAGTCGACTCATAAGTCACCTGAACATGTAACCCTTCCTTAGGATCAATCGGGGATCGTCAGTGCAGATCTTCTGACATGTAGCCAATGCCACTCCCGGTGGACCAGCCGCCCCTTCAAGGTGCGAGTTGCCACTCCCACGACAACCCCTGGGGCGACGAGGTGACTCCTACGGATCTAGTTTTGAGACATTTCAAAACATTTCCGTGGTCACGACAACCCCTGGGGCGACGAGGTGATCCTTTCCTTTCTCATTCCCCCCGTGCATTTCCCCATTTCCCTTCCTCCACTCCCCCCCTCACCACCCGCCCAGGCGCTCATCTCTGGGTGCATCCCAGTGACGTTTTTTCGCGACCATGACAATCCCTGGGGCGACGAGGTGGACTACTCTGCCTTCTCCATCAACATCGACCCGGATGACATTGCTTCGCTGCGCTACCGCCTCGAGACAGCTCCGGTGGAGCAGCTGCAGCGAGGAGTGGAGAAGATGCAGGTGGGTCCAGTGCGGTGGAGTGTGGTGCAATGCAGTGTGGCTCATCCCAGTTTTGCCCCCGTGGAGCAGCTGTAGCGCAGCGTCGAGAAGGTGCAGGAAGGCTGAGATTGAAGTTGGTATTGACTTGGCCAGCATTTTGGTCACCAGCGTCAACACAGGAGTAAAAATGCTAGACGCTTGTCTCTCGGAGTCTGCGACGCTTGAAAAATGCTTGGCTGGCAAGCAAACAAAATGATCAAGCAATCAAGCAACACAATATGAAGGCAGGGGCAAAATTTCACCAACTTTTTTTTTTTAACCAACAGCTTTTCCTGTCGAAAATCCCCCCCCCCCCCCCCCCCCCCCCCCCCCCCCCCCCGCCCCCTCCCCCCCCCTTTTTTTTTTTTTTTCCCCGATATCTTGATAAGGCCCTGCCCGAATATTTAAAATGATTTAAAAATATGATAATTTTTGTATGTGACTCATTTTTCTGGCAGTTTTAGACGGATTTGGCATTCCGCCTGTACATGTGCAAGTGGTCGTGGACACACACATGAGCAAGCACAGAATGTGCTTGCTAAGACGACTTGGCATAGGGGTAATCCTTTCCTCATGTAATTCGCCATTCCCCCTTTCTCACCTCCCTCCCCTCTCTTTCCTCTCCCCCCCCAATCAGTACATGTTCAAGTGTTCGAACACACACGCATGGGGGGCTGAGTACGAGCTTATAAAGAAGGCTTGACTTGAAACCTCCCCCTCCACCCCCTTCCTCCTTGCCTTCCTTCCCCACCTCCCGCTCTCTCCCTCTAATGCCACCAGTACATGTTCAAGTGGTCTTACACACACACATGGGGGGCAGAGTACGAGCTTATAAAGAGGCTAAGGCAGCGAGGCAAGCAACTCTCCTCCACCTCTCTCTTCCTATAGCAGGCGTGCTTTCAATGAATATAGTTATGGTCGAATGAGTTTTTGTTTTTGTATTGTAGCCTGTAGAAATCTCATGTGGTCTGCAAGCCCGCGGTGTTTCTCTTGATGTATAATATATGCTTGAGCCTGCAGTGCTTCTCTAAGAGAAGCTTTTTTACTGCAGCGACATAAGGCAGCATTTCTCCCTTCCTACCTGTATCTCTATTTTCTGACCACTGAAAATAAGGCAGCTTTTAACTCCGATCCAACACTGTACATACCATATGCTTTTGAGATTACTAAGAAAGCACCTGGTGTGATTGTTATCAAACACGCTGTTTTGTTGCTTTAGAGTGCCTCTGTAGAAATGGTGGGGTCTTATAGTGCTTTCATCTCTGAGGGGGTAGGTATGGTGATACCTGCCAATACGAGATACCCACCCTGTATTTTAGGTCCAGGGGACATCTATTCTACAGGAGGGGAGGGAAGGGGGTTCGAATTAGGGGGAATACACACCAGCACAGATGCGATTTCTTTATTGATAGAATACAGAGGCAGCTCCAACCATCCCTTGTTTTTCACTACAAGCACGCCTGTTATAGAAAGAGAGCAGTGGAGGAGATTTGCTCCCCGCGCTGCCTTAGCCTCTTCAAAAGCTCATACCCCGCCCCTTGTGTGAGCGTTCTCGACCACTTGAACATGTGCTGGTCGCGTCAAGGGTGATGAGAGGGGGGGATGGGGAAAGGCAGGGAAGGGGAGTCTCATTAGAGAAGACGCCCCTTTAACCCAAGACCTCTTTAGAAGCTCGTACCATGCCCCTCGTGTGTGCGTTCGCGACCACTTGAACATGAGCTGGTGGCTTCAAAGGGGGAGAGAGGGGGGGGTGGGGAAAGCAGGGATGAGGGGTCGGTCACATTAGGGGTGGAGCCCCTTAAATCCACGACCTCGTTATAAGCTCATATCTGAACCCCATGTGAGCGTCTGCGACCAATCCAGCCCACTGAACCCACTCCACTACACTGCACCCATTCCAGCCACCCTTCCACCTCATTTCACCGTTTCAAACCCACCCGCACATTCTCCACGCCGCGCCGCAATTGCTCCGCGGAGCAAACCTGGGATGAGCCGCACTGCATTGCGCCGCACTGCCCCCATTCTGCACCCATTTTACCGCACTCCACCCATTCCAACCACCGTTCCATCCACCGCACTGCACCCACTTGCACCTTCACCACCCCCGCTGCAGCTGCTCCACAGGTGCGGTCTCGAGGCAGTGGCACAGCGAAGCAATGTCGTCCGGATCGATATTGATCGATACTGATCGATATTGATCGATGTTGATCGATGTTGATCGATATTGATCGATATTGATCGATGTTGATCGATGTTGATCAATGTTGATCAATATTGATCGATACTGATCGATGCTGATCGATGTTGATCGATGTTGATCGATGTTGAACGATATTGATCGATATTGATCGATACTGATCGATACTGATCGATACTGATCGATATTGATCGATGTTGATCGATATTGATGGAGGAGGAGGAGTAGTCCAGCTCGTCCTCCCTCCCCCCATTGACACACGCATGTGCCACCCCCCCTGTCAACAGCACTGCACCCATTCAATCCACCGCACTGCACCCATTCAATCCACCGCACTGCACCCATTCCTTCCACCGCACTGCACCCATTCCTTCCACCGCACTGCACCCACCTGCACCTTCTCCACGCCGCGCTGCAGCTGCTCCACGGGGGCGGTCTCGAGGCGGTAGCGCAGCGAAGCAATGTCGTCCGGATCGATGTTGATGGAGAAGGCGGAGTAGTCCAGCTCATCGTCCCAGGGGTTGTCGTGATCTCGAAAGAACGTCACTGGGATGCATCCTGATATCAACGCCTGGCGCGGGGGGAAGGGTCGGGGACGGGAATAGGGGGCATACATACAGAAGAATTGGGTCCAGTCCCAAGGGTTGTCGTGCTCCCAGAAAAAAACTAGTTTTGAGGAGCCTCAAAACCGGAAGAACGTCACTGGGATGCACACAGACATGATCGCCCCGACACCCAGACATGAGCGCCTGGGAAGGGAAGATGGTGTTGGGGGAAGGCGATTGTGGGGGAGAGAGGAGACGGGATTGGGGGCAAGAGGGGGGGGGGGGGGGGGGGGGAGAGAGATTTTTGAGGGGTTACGGAAGAGTTGGGTCGAGCTCATCGCTCCCAGGAGATTTCATGCCCGCGAAAGAATGTCGCTGGGATGCACCCTGCGATGACTTTTGAGAATTCTCAAAAGAATGTCGCTGGGATGCACCCTGCGATGACTTTTGAGAATTCTCAAAAGGAAATCACTTTTGAGAATTCTCAAAAAGGGGGGGAGGGTGGGGGGGAGAGAGATTTTTGAGGGGTTACGGAAGAGTTGGGTCGAGCTCATCGCTCCCAGGAGATTTCATGCCCGCGAAAGAATGTCGCTGGGATGCACCCTGCGATGGGCGTGCGGAGTGGGGTAAGAGGAGAGCAGGGAAGGGATGGGGGGGAAATGATGAAACACCTGTGAATGAAGCTACTATTACCGCTTGAATGATGAGAGGTGGATGTGTTAACCCCATCCACACTCCGCATGCTGTTGCGGCTTCTTACAAAGAGCAGGTGGAAAAGAAGAGCCACACCGTGCAGTATGGAAATCACTCTTGAGAATTCTCAATCACAGTGATTTGCACTTCAATTGTCAGGAGTGGTCCTTCGAGGCGCCCCAAAAGTTGGTTAACCCCCCATCACACCCCACGTGCTGCTGCAGCTTGCATTTTTGAGTTGACTCAAAAATCAACTAACCCATGTGCTGCTGTAGCTTGATTTTTTGAGTCGACTAAAAAATCAACTCACCCCACGTGCTGTTGTTAATCCACGCTGTGCAGTGCACCCGAATTGTCAGGAGTGGTTGGCTAGGCGGATAAGGGGAGTTGGTAAGGATTTTTTTCGAGAGGAAAAAAAAAAGAAAAAAAATCTTCTGATATATCTCCTGTCTTGACTAAATCGATTGACCCAAAGGACCCAATTGACCCGATTTCCCTCCCCCCCCCCCCCCCCCCTTCACCTTGAAAGGGCGGCTGGTCCACTGGGAGTGGCCGGGCGGGCAGATGCAGAAGACAGCTCGCTGCCAATCCTTGTTGGTCTGATTCTCCAGCTTCGCTGCAAAGCTCCACCCGTTGATGCGCTGCCGCTGGTACATCTGCACGTGTGGGGGGGGAGGAGGTTGGTTGGTGATTGAGGGGAGGGGCTTTTGAGAATTCTCAAAAGGGGGGTGATTATGGGGAGGGGAGGGGAGAGGAGGGGAGGGGAGGAGAGGGGAGGGAGGGGACGGGAGGGGAGGGAACCTTTCTCTGCCTCGGCTGCAAAGCTCCACCCCTTGATGCGCTGCCGCTGGTACATCTGCACGTGTGGGGGGGAAGACGGGTTTGGGGGGTGATTGAGGGGAGCGGGGGGAGGGAAGTGGAGGGGAGTGGAGGGGAGAGGAGGGGAGGGAAGGGGACGGGAGGGGATGGGTGGTAGGGGGTTTGGCAACATTAATGCGACTCCAGGAGTGGCTACATCTCATCTCCCCTCCCCCCTACCCAATCCTTCCAGCACACAACTCCCACCCCCACCCCTCACCGCGTGTTTTGAGACGTCTCAAAACTCCCACACCGCCATCCCCATCGCCAACCCCACTCCCCATCCCTCTCCCCACCCCTCTCCCCACCCCTCTTCCCACCCCTCTCCCCACCCCACACCCACACACATTCACTGAGTAGGTCGGGGCACAGCGCAGGTCATGCGTGGCCATGGTGCATGTGTGAGGCCATGGTGCATGTTTGAGGCCATGGTGCATGTTTGAGGCCATGGTGCATGTTTGAGGCCATGGTGCATGTTTGAGGCCATGGTGCATGTTTGAGGCCATGGTGGATGTTTGAGGCCATGGTGCATGTTTGAGGCCATGGTGCATGTTTGAAGCCATGGTGCATGTGTGAGGCCATGGTGCATGTTTGAGGCCATGGCGCATGTTTGAGGCCATGGTGCATGTTTGAGGCCATGGCGCATGTTTGAGGCCATGGTGCATGTTTGAGGCCATGGTGCATGTTTGAGGCCATGGCGCATGTTTGAGGCCATGGTGCATGTTTGAGGCCATGGTGCATGTTTGAGGCCATGGTGCATGTTT